TGTTAGTCTCTAAGGTGCCACAAATACTCCTGTTCTTCTTTTTGAGAATTTTTTAAAACTTTTTTTCCTAGAACATAATTGTTGAATGATATAATAGTTGAACAAGGGTTTTATTAACACACTAACCCTGTTGAGTCTGAGACCCACCAACAACACTGTCCTCTCTGCCCCGGGAACTCTGCTCAGAAGCCTGGGAGGGAGGACCTTCCCAAGACCACTTCCACCTCAAAACCTTGGTCTTTGTCCCTTTAAGAGGAGAACCCGAGTCAAAACAGGCAGTTGACATGCCAGTCCCAGAGATTACTAGTCAATCTTAGAATCCCAGAGCGAGGTGTAGTCCTCCAAAGAGTCCAACCACTTCACCCACAAGGGAGTCTTCAGAGCTCTTTCCAGGCGGGAGTTCTAAACACGTACTTCTCTTCCTATGGTTGACTGCAGGCAGGCTAACTGGTTTCAGCTGTATCCCATCCCTTGCCTTCCCATGAAGAACTGCCATTACTCCCTCCTCCAGTGTTCTTCCGATCTCCCCACCCCCAGCACAGCAAGGGGCGGTACACTGCTTCACAGCTTCATTTACCATACTGATAACACAACAAAGCAAGCAGACAAACTACAGCTCAAAACCAGATCCTAGGTGGGTGGGCTGTTCACATCAGGGTCCTCTGCTGAGAGTGAGCATTTCACTCAAGTCCCCTGCCTGAGAACACTTCACATGGAATCCGCTGGCATGAATGACAACTGGCTCCAAAGAGTCACCACAAAAAATAATCAGCACAAATAAAATCTTTACAGCAGGAGGGAAGGGACACCCCGTGTGGCGGGGTTGGCATTTTTGAGGGAGAGGTGCTGCTCCGTGGTTATTTGAGCTGGTACTGCAAGCCCTCTGGCTGCATAAAGGAGGGTTCCCATGAACAGTTTAAGGGTGTGAATTGCACCCCTAGACTCCTGCAGGTTGGGTACTTGTGGGAAAAGCAGGAAGCTCTCACCAAGTGAGAGAAAACAACAGCTTCCTGCACCCTGAAATCTTGAGGCACTGGGAAGGAAGAGGATGAGCCCTGTCTAGAGAATCAACGAATAAGGAAACCCAAAAGGCTAGAGTAGCCAATGAGATAAAAATAGCAAAGGAAGATTTAAACAATAAGAGAGCCTGTTAATATAAAGGAAGGGAAGATCCAAATTGGGTCACGGGGGATGGGACTGGAGCAGCAAGCAAAGCAAAAATAGCAAGGAAGGAAAGATAAATAAGAAGTTCTTAAAATAAATAAGAAGCAAACAGATTGACAAGGAAACAAGAAGGCCATTGAGAGGGAAACGGAGAAAATCCAGGGAAGACCAGTATTGCTCAGGGCGTCAATTCATCCACAAGGGAGAAAATGACAAAGCTGAGGAGCTTTATCATAGCAACAAGGAGGAAGAGGAAGGAAAGTTTTATCGGAAATTAGAACCATGAGAATTTACCAAGAGCAGCCCCAGCTGAACAGCGTAATATTCAGCTGAGAAGATAGTTTCCATGACAAATGGAAACTGTATGTGGAGCACAAAATAATTTAATACAACTAAAACCCTCCAGTTTCTCCTTCGTTTCTGGTTTTCCTTCCCTCGCTGTCATCAGGTGTCCTGCCTTCCTATACCCTGTGTCCTCTGACTTCACAGATAAAAAATGTGGGATTTTAATTCACAATGAGTGAGGCATACAAAAGCCTCCCCACATAACATGCAACGGGAGTTTCCGAAGCACTGCAGGAAACACAGAAGGGTCTGATGGCCAAGTCACGTGGCTGAATAACTAAACCGGTGACATTTAAAAAAACAAAACAAAAGAGAGAGTTGCCAAAACGCAGCAGGGCCTGCTGTTCTCCATGCCAGAATTCAGCACAAGGATAAGAGGCTGGAAAGACACTGGGGGATCACCCAGGACAAAGGGAAGCACCAGAAGGCTGCAGAGAAGCTACTGAAGAATGAAAGAAGAATTACTGAGCTAAGAGCGCACTGTGCATGGGAGAGGGAGAGGGAGAGGGAGAGGGAGACACCTGGTAAATAACACCACTGAGTCACTCAGTGGAGCAAAAGGGGAAGAGTAAGTCTGAGGAACCCATACCGGTCCCTGGAGTGTGCCGTGTCGGCAGCCTCAAGCGTTCAAGTACCACGAGTGAGGCCTCAAAAAATCATGAGATTTTCTACAACTACTATGGCTGGAAACTTGCTTCTCTTTTTAAATGAAAGCTGAGAGTCTCACCGAATGACAAGCCTCCATAAGCTGTGGCTTTAAGAAAAACACTAAATAATTCAGAGTAGCAGCCGTGTTAGTCTGTATCCGCAAAAAGAAGAACAGGAGTACTTGTGGCACCTTAGAGACTAACAAATTTATTAGAGCATAAGCTTTCGTGGACTACAGCCCACTTCTTCGGATGCATATAGAATGGAACATATATTGAGGAGATATATATACACACATACAGAGAGCATAAACAGGTGAAATAACAGAATACCACTAGCTGTCACCTTCATCCCCCAACTAAAACCTCTCCAGCGCATCATCAGAGCTCTGCAACCGATCCTGAAAGCCGATCCTTCAATCTCACAGAGCTTGGGAGACAGTCCTGTCC